AATGAGCATATAGCTCGGTTCTTCTGTAGGCTTTTGCATTTTTGTAAAATACAAACTTCTTAGAGACGTTGATCTATAAACATTAAAAGGCATATTTCGTTAAACTCATTTGAATCCCAAAAAAAATTATCTTTTAATGTTTATTGATACTATTTTGTAGGTATACAAGAATTATACGGTAAATAAATGAGTATATACGTAGACAAAGTTCAATTTTCTTGTGAAAAACTTCATTCTCAATCTGAGAACAGTCCCTACCATACGTTGGATCCTATCTTCTCCAACCTTCCTTTCTCTTCAACCCACTTGCCCTTCAATAATACACTCGCTCTGTTTGGCTTCAATCACTGTTCTAAACCCTAGCTCCACATGATCGTCAGTATGGCTTCCACATGAACAAGGACCCACCATCAATATCCTTTTTGCCACGTGTCAACGATCTACTGTACCTGATCAATGATGCTGTCCATGTCAGTTTATTATAAAATATTGTTATGGAGCCATTTGTGGATTCGATTATGTGCATGCATGCATGCGCATGTGTTTGTCGTATTGAATTTATTTGAGCTCCTTTCACGTGGGCCGTCCGATCATTATCCGATGGTCGTTGTCGCTTCTCTTTGGTTGGTCTACAATATTAACAACATTGACACTTGTTTTTGCCTTCCATATTGCAAAAAATTTCATTTGATTAAGCCTCTTCTTTGTTCATTTAGAACTTCTTCCCTCTGGAATTTACAATAAATCAATTTAGATTCGATCAACTACTAAATGACTTTTTTAATGGCTTATAGATTCATCTAGTAATGTTTGTATATATTTTTTTTAAAACAATCGATCCTAAATTGATAATACACTGCTTATTTCTATATCAAATATTTTTATTTTTATTTTTTAATTTAGGACCATTTTTTATTTATTTATAAATGATCGAGAATTTAGGGTTCGAAAAGAATACTTTTTATATTATTAATGTTAGTGAGGCCATGAAAGGGACACTGATAATGTCCAGGGTTTAATTCTTTGGTCCAACAATGGAAAATCTAGAGATTATTATCGACATTCATGAAATTGGGAATAAAAAGAGAACAAAGAGATGGAGACATTTAAATAAAATCAAAGTAGGAAAGACATAAAAAAAAAAAAATTATTAATTATATGATTCGATCAATCTCTATATATATCTTCATATGTACAATTAAACTGAGAAATTAATTAATGGTGGATATATATTCAAGTTGCTGAAAGATTTAATACTGACTTGACTAGAATTTGTTCACTTGGGACTGTTTGTTTGCGCAAAGTTAGATGTTTTTATAGCTTGAAAACTCAATTTCAGTCGACAGATTTTAGTGGAACTTACCCAATTTTATTTCTAGCATGGCTTGTAGGGCTAGCTGCCTACTCTATTTTGTATCTTTTCTTTTGCCTTTTTATTAAGGGGTTCTATTTTCGAAATTAGGTTTACTACTTTACCGAACAATACAATCAGAAAACGATGTTCAGAGTTTAGAATTTAGGGTTGAAATCAAAATAGTTTCATTATGACAGATGAGGATGAACTTCTTGTTGCTCTATAAATTTTGAGAAATCCTTTATTTTTAACTTAGTAGATCTAATATATGCTGTTGAAAAGATTATCCGATGTTTATTATTGTATTTAGAGTTTTTTTTTTTTTTTTTTTAATTTATTCATAAAATTCTCTACTTTTCTTGATTTATGTTTTAGGAAACAAAAATAATAAGCGAAAATTTAAATTACAAGTTGAAGCATTGATTCCCTATTGTCACAGTTGATAAAAGGATCATATTTTATGTATACGCTTTTTATACAAACTCACTTATACAAATTGATGTGTTTTAAGATGATTAGATAATTTTAAATTAAAAATAAATTAAATTATTAAAAGACATTACATGTCAAACGGACATGATTAACACATCAATGTTTAAGGAATACTTTATATATATAGCATTACTCTTAATAAAATTAATTCGAAAAGTTGAATGGCTTAATAAAAACAGTCAAAAGGAAAGAAGTAGCGAGCTTGGAAGATCCACCTGATGGGCGTAAATAATCACTTTATTTTGGGCCTATCCATGTTCAGTCTCTTCAATTTTCACATAAATTTGGTCTTGTTCCTATCCAACCAACCTGTTCAATCTTGACTTCTTGTTACTTGTTACTTTTCTCTCTCTAGCTCTCATTAGCGGATATATATATATATATATATATTTTTTTTTTTTTTTTTAATCCGAATTAAAATTTCTCACCCCAAAACATTATTATAAAAGATATAATTTCGACAAAAATTAATGCTTCAAAATTTTTTTAGGAGAGAACCTTCTATTTTAGTTAAAATCCAAAACAAGTTTTCTCATCAAAAGACAATTAAAAAACAAAAATTTCAACCAAACTTCTCACTTAAAAAAACTAAATTTTTTTCTTCTTTAATAGTTATCTTAACAAAAAAAATTCAACACACTCACAAGAGAGAATGAGTGTATAAACCATTAAGAACTAAAATTAGTCAGTGTGAATGTTTAAAATTTTTAACGTGTAAATTAAAAACTAGCAACTAATCGCTAATATTGATTCGAATGTTAAAACCTTGAATTTGAAGACATTTACATAGAAGACTTATTATAAAAATACGTATATAGACACATAAAAGAAAAAAAAAATTAATTATAATAATAATTAAGTCGATAAAAGGACGATGAGTTTATGGAAATCGAGATACATCTTGTTTGAAATGTATTTGGCTAAGTATGGACCAAATTTTTCAGTGTGTCAACAAGGTTAGGACCATTGCAACTAAATTAAATTAAATTTGACAGCACCGGCCAAGTCAATTGAATTGAAAGAAGTTGCATAGAAATTGAAGTGAGATTAATAAAAAGAGGATGAAACACACGTGGGGGCTAAGACCTCAAAACTTCAATTTGTATGAATCTTCAAACAACACCATGTGGAAATGTGCGAACCCCGGTGAGTTTGTCTCAATGCACAAACACCCATCACTTTCTAGAGAGGCATGTTGGTCTTTAGTGCTTTAATGCAAGTTTTAGACTTTTTTAATCTCCTCGTTAATTCATTAATTAAATTTAGGGTTTAGAGGATTGATTTTAATTATAATAATATAATTAAAGAGGTTTAGGGTTTCAATGCATTTTTGTAGTGCGTATGTCCCCTTCCAATACTACAACCCATTGAAATGAATTTTGGAGTTGGCAATTGGAGAATTTTCAAAGTAAATAGTGTTTTTGGTTGATGGGAATGTTGTCAAAGTTTTTATTTTTTATTGGGTATTTTTTTTTTTTTTATACTAATTTATATGCCTATTAGTTTTTGGAGGAAGGATGTTGTATTATATATTGTCGTTTAATTTTATTTACACCTACTATTTTCAAAATGTATTATATACTTTTCTACTTGGGGTGTTTTTTATGCTAAGAATGTCACCAAAGTTTGATTATTTTTATGGCGTATTGTATTTTCTTTACTAATTTATGTATCTATTAGTTTTTAGATTAAGACAATTGTCGTAAACCTGTAAGAGATTGTTTAATTTCAATCATACTCGCTGTTTTAAGAAAGTATTACATATTCTTGTAAAAGGGTTTATAATCATTTCAAGAGGATAGTAATATAAAAATAATGAACGTAGATTAAATTAAAAAATCAATTAGGAGAATAAATTATGATAAGCCTAGTTTTTGGATATAGTAACTGGCGGATATGATCATTAATATTATATTGTTATGTTATTAATAGTATATCTTATGGTATATTTTTCTTAACAAGAGTTTATCAAATAACATATATATATATATAAAAGTATTTGGATCTTCTCCTAATCTATACTTATTTTAGTTTTTAATGATTTGATGACACAAATACATTTCAATCTATGTATGAAATAATCAAGATCTATTACATTATTATATTTGTATTTATTATATTTAGATGTAATAGGACCGCATAATTCATAAAAATAAGCTAAAATTTGATAATAAAATCCAAAAGTTGATTTTAAAAGTCTAATTACATCAAAATGTCATTGAAACAACGTTGATAATAGTTTGATTACAAGTAGTGATGTAATACGACATGAGAAGACAACTGAGATTTCATTTGTCAATTCGTTTTAAACCTTCAACACAGTATTTATATTGGAATTGATGGTGTATCCCAACTTTATTTATCACGTCGAGAAAAAGGACTTTGTAGAACAGTTTTATATAAAAATGCTTTTAATCACATCTTTATATCATTCATTCATGCTTAAAAAGATGATTATATAAATGAGTTACAAAACGGTTGACATAATGAGATTCAACTTCCCAAATCTCAAATTTATTTCAACAACTTTTGAGTCAATATGAGATGTAAATTTGAGTTGTTGTCACATGGGATTTAATTGAATTTTTCTTTTATTGTTGAAATTAAATTAAATGTCAAAAAAGTTGAAACTGTTGACCACCCCACCACCCTATTTAGAGTGACAACTCCTCTCAATAGGGTTAGGATTGTGGGCACATCAAAAGCCAAAAGCAAAAGCGAAAAAAAAAAAGGCTAGAAATTAAGCTGCTTTTGACTGCAGCTATCTACTCTTAGCTTTCACTTTTCTCATTCTCACTCACTGATCAGCTTCACCAAAAAGCTGAGTGAGGGACCTAAAAAGTGCTTCTCAAAAGTGCTTCTACATAAGCAAAAGTACAAAACCCACAAAGCAAAATAGAAAGACAATTTGCTTTCTTTCAAACATCTTTCACTCTCACCTTTAATTTTTTTTTTTTTTTTTTTTTTTTTTTCCTTTCTCCTTTGATTTCTTTGCCTCAAAAGTTTATAGAGATATGTCTTTGTAATTGTATTAACAAGCTGAATTCCTAGAGATATTACAAATTCAAAGCAAAACGACAAACGCAAATAATTGCTGGATCTAAGGACAATCAAACGCCAACACTAACAACAAAAAACATAAAAAACAAAAACAAAAACATTAAAAGAAAAGAAAAACCCTTCTTTTCCATTCCTCTTCTTCATTTCATTAATCCTTTCCTTTGTCGCTTTGTAATGGCAAAGATCATGAATTTTGATGAAATCAAGCTTGCTTTACATCCATATTGGGGGAATGAAGAGAAATTAATTAATATTTAATTAGATAATTAACTAATTAATTAAACTTTTATTTATATAATCACTAACCGCCACCTCCCTTTTCTCCTTTCTTTCCTCTTCGTTGTCTCCTTCTTCTTCTTCTTCTTCTTGCTTTGTTCCTCTCAAAAATAAAATCTTTAAAATTGGACACAACTTTGGCTTCTAATGGGGGCATGATCCTCAAATCAAGGCTTTAAATCTTCTAATTAATTCATCATCCTTATAATTAACCTCCAATTATTTTGGAGCTTAATTCTTCACTCTTCTATTTTCCCGGAAAATCTTCATGTGATTTCAACATAATCCGAGTTGATTTTCTAGCTACCCAATCAATGCTTCCCAAGCCATGAAAATTCCCTTCAAATTCCTGTCTTCATCATACTAAATTCTACCTTCTATCAGGAAAATTTTATTTCACAATCCAAGAACGATGTAGTAGACGAGAGTAATTGGTAATGCTATCAACATCCCAAATATAACCCTGCAAAATTATAATATAAAGTATTAAAATCAAGAAATTAAAAAAAAAAAAAAAAATCTTAATTAAAAACTATATAATCTAAATAATATTTATCACTTACGCAGTACTAAGAATTGCTGGATGTACATTGTACTCTTTTGCAAACACAAACGGGACAATACCTTGTGGCAATGCGGCCTGTTGAAAATTGGCTGTTAAATAAGTGACGAAATCATAACAATAAGAAAGTTTTAAATGAGACATATGTAAGAATTTTACCTGAACAATTGCAATGTGAAGAAGGGTACCGCGGAGGCCAACGGCAATGGAAGCAGCGGCCATGACAGCAGGGCCGGTGAGGAATCTAACGGCCATGGCGAATGTTGCAACCGAGTTGCCACAAGCGATGATTTTAGGTTGGAGAGCCATAAACAGACCTTTCACCAAGACAATAAAAATCAAAAAAAAGAAGAGCAAATTGCAGGAGGGCAGTCACTGTTTCATTTAACACAAAAAAAAAAAAAAAAAAAAAATTGTTTTCATTTTCAATTTTCAACTACCCTCTCTTAACATGGACCATTTTGGCATCTCCCATAACCGATACCACCCAACCCTGGACCGCTAAACGACGTCGCTAATTAGCTAACGTGACCCACATGTCGGGTGGTCAATCTCCTCTGTGACCCAATTGACAAAACTTTAAGATTTCTTGTGATAATAAAAAGCTCACTAATTTGCATGGCTGTGAGTTGTGCTACCAAACGACTTAGCCCTACCACACAAATGGTCGAGAAACGACCACGGCGTCAGAAAATCTTAGATGAAACGTATATATCATACGTTCAGTAACTGAAAAGCTGCAATCTTTACAGAGTTGGGATACTCTGTATTGTTCTATATAGTATAAAATCCCATGTACCCATTTTAAGAAATGGAGCCCAGTTGGGAAATGAAATGAACCTTTAAGTTTAAGGTGAATGTTTGGGAGGTGAGAAAACGGATTTTACAATTATTGAAATCACTCACCTAAACTGAACATAGCCATTCCGAGACCCGCATCCGACAGAATTGAGATTGACTGCTCTATTATTTTTGGCATTGACACGTGCCACCTGCAACGAAATCAATTATATTAAAAGTGAGCTATTAGTCAAATAACAGTTTGAATTATTATTATCCTAATGTTTCGATTTTTTTAACTTTACCTGAAAGCGATTAGAGACCAAACCAGTCCAATGAGACTTGAGTATGTGTTGGGATTGCGGATCAGTTTGCGCCAGACCATGATCAAGATCAGACGGGTCATAACACTCGCCGGAGGCATTATTTTTGCGGCGCCAGGATCCGGAACTCCGCTGGCAGCTTTTGGGTGCAACTCAGCTGTTGAGCTAGACCCCAGTTTATTAAGTCCAGTGGGTCCTTCTTTCTCTCTTTCTTCTTCTCCTTCCACTCTTCCAGCAAAGCTAAAATCCTCCCCACCGAAATCCCCACTTTGCGAAATGGCTTCATAATAAAAATTTATAAAATTTTTAAACATTTGATTACTAATTTAATCTAATTACAGTTTGAATCATTAATGTTGGTATATTCAAATTATACCTTTGTTTTCTCCATTTTGAGGGTGGTCAGTGACCAACATCCTGATCTCTTTAGCTCCTTGATCAGACCGTCCAGATTGCTCGGACGCTCCAAAATCTGTCCCACCAAAAACATGAAGCCCGCCGGCGCCTTCTGAAACAGGAGAGGCGCTAGAGCTCCAGACAAACATGTGGAGCTCTTTGGCGTCATGGTTTGTTTTATTGTTCAAATTCGATTGCTGCTGTTGCAGATTCTGATTCTGATTCTGATTCTGGTTCTGATTCGGATTTTGATTCTGACTCTGTACATTTTTTGTAGCTTTAGAAATAGGGTTCGAGAACTCGGGATTCGGAGCTGGGTACGAAGTAGGTACAGTTTGAGCAGGATAAAATCCAAATCTAGGAGACGAAATTGTTTGTCCGCAATTTTCTTCAAAATTCGAAGTTCTTGGAGTTGGCCCTCTGGAGGATTGTACAGAGTACAAATCCGCCGGTCCGAAATTCGAAAGTCTTCCGCCTGGAAATCCCTGGACGCCCATCATGTTATAAAAATCAGCATGGTTAAAATTGGAGCCTCTGGGAGTCGGGTTTCTCGACGAGCTCAAGCTGTAAATTTCAGCCCCGGTGAGATTGGAAGGCCGAGGAGTTAATGCCGGGAGTGAACAGGGGCCTAAAGACCGCCTGGAAGCATTAGATTTCCTCACTGTAACATGAAGCTTTCCGTCGTCTCCAATTTCAGCGTCAGTCTCCAGGAAATCCCTCCCGTCGAGTGAGACCACATCGGAGTCCACTTTGAATGAAACTATCGACGCAGCGGTCTCCGGGAACTGCTCCGTGATGAGCATCTTGGCGCCACGGTACTCGAAGAGAAATAGCAGTAGAGTGTACCAGATTATGCACTGTAAAACCACAATTTGGACCATGAGACTCCCCGAGTAGTCGCCGTACATAGCGATAAGTAGAGGAATCCCCATGACCAGAGTGTTGGGTAAAGTTGAAAGAGAAAAGATTGTAATCATCCATTCAAGACTGCCATTCTTTGTGAAGTTGGTCCAAATCCCGAGCACGAACAGCATGATGATCTTCTGCAGAGTATCCGCCGCTATGAAACGGAAGTTCATAGCGTAAGGATTGTTAGAAGAAATGAAGTGGAAGGACAAGAGAGGAACAGCGAAGATGGCGACGAAACGGTTGATTCCCGAACACTGGTCGGGAGAGAAAATCTTCCACCAGCGGACGGAACCGTAGGCCAAGATCATGGCGACGTAGAGAGGAATCACAGCCGTCAAGACGGTGTAAAGATCGTGCCAGGAGATCATTTTTACAGGATTTGGTTGTAGAAAAGAGAAGATCTTGGTGGTGGTTGTTTATGAAGAGAGGGAAACAAATGGCATTGAGAAGGGGAAGGAAGGCGAAGTGGGGAGAGAAAAAGAAACCGTTAGATAACGAACTTGAAGGGGAATTTGTGATTGGTGACAACTGTTTAATGCTGGTTCTGCAAAGTTCAGGAGGAGGACTGAAACTTAAGGATATAAAGAGAAGGAAGGAGAGAGAGAGAGAAACGGAGAAATTTATTACGACTAGTGAAACTTTAGAAAGTATATATATAGAGAGGAAGAGAGAGTGAGAGCTTGTATTGGAAATGGGCCAGGGATTGGGCCGTGGCCCGATTAGAAAGAGTGTGAAGGTGGGTTACAAAGTAACCGCCTGACATGGTTAGCTTAACCCGAGAGGAGAGTTAAGGGTGTTGACAGGTGCTGGCAACGTAGAGAGTCAGTGGGTTTGAGTTTCAAGAATCCGACCCGAAATCAGGCCCATTTTATTGAATTTTGAGGTTTTTGGTGGAAAAAGGAGAACCATAAGATTCTATTACTATTTCATAAACGTGTAATTGGTGCTAACCTTTGATATTAAAAAAAGTTTGTTTCAATTTCAAAATCTTTATCAGCTTTCATGTCATCCATCCCTCTCATCAATGCCCGAAGAGACATGTATTTATATTATCAAACTCTATTAACGACAATATTTTCTTAATCAACGTCAAACAAATTTGGCAGAACGACTTACCTCTACCCAAAGTTTAGTGAAACAATATATTGATACTTAAAAAGTTTTAAAAAGATAAATAAATACCTTTTATTAGAGAAAAGATTAAAATATCTTTTAAAAAATAATAGTTTATTTTTTTAATTATTTTTAGACCCCTTAAGTTTATTAATTTCATCAAATACTCTCAGAAAAAAATTTAAAAATTAACAAAAATACTCCCATCCATCCATACTTACTAGATTCCAACTGCCACCACCGATGGTAGCCGAAATCTGTCACAACGGTCTAGCCACCACCGAAAATAGTCGATAGTTCACTGATCTGGCCTTTTTTGGTCAGATCCACCACGGATCTGGCCGAAAAATGCCAGATCTGACGTGAGAAGGCGAGATCTGGCCAGAAAGTGACGGCCAAAGATGTGGCCGTCGTTGTCTGTCAACGATGGCCAAGATTTGGCCGTCGTTGACAGTCAACGATGACCACATCTTTGGCATTTCTGGCCAGATCGATACCGGCCATTTTCGGTGGTGGCCACGGGAATCTGGCAAGTATGGGTGAGTGGAGGTGTTTTTGTTAATTTTTAAACTTTTTTCTGGGGATATTTGATGGAATTAATAAACTTAAAAGGTCTAAAAGTAATTAAAAAAATAGACTAATATTTCTCAAAGGGCATTTTAGTCTTTTCCCTAACGAAAGGTACTTGTTTGTCTTTTTAAAACCTTTTACGTATCAATCTGTCATTTTTACAGACCTTGGGTAGGTGTAATCGTTTCCCCAACAAATTTCTATTAAGCTTTTTTATACGGAAAACTACAAAATTTAATATTTTGACACTAGTTGGCACATGAGAATTTTTTGAAAGTTTTGCAAGTTTCCATCGTTCTTTTATCTGGTAATTAAAAACTTTATCTGAGTTTAAATTCTACTGAAAAGTCCACTAGAGATCAGAATTTGTTGTGTGTGTGTATATATACATACGCAAGTAAATTCTATATAATTTNAACGTAGAGAGTCAGTGGGTTTGAGTTTCAAGAATCCGACCCGAAATCAGGCCCATTTTATTGAATTTTGAGGTTTTTGGTGGAAAAAGGAGAACCATAAGATTCTATTACTATTTCATAAACGTGTAATTGGTGCTAACCTTTGATATTAAAAAAAGTTTGTTTCAATTTCAAAATCTTTATCAGCTTTCCTGTCATCCATCCCTCTCATCAATGCCCGAAGAGACATGTATTTATATTATCAAACTCTATTAACGACAAAATTTTCTTAATCAACGTCAAACAAATTTGGCAGAACGACTTACCTCTACCCAAAGTTTAGTGAAACAATATATTGATACTTAAAAAGTTTTAAAAAGATAAATAAATACCTTTTATTAGAGAAAAGATTAAAATATCTTTTAAAAAATAATAGTTTATTTTTTTAATTATTTTTAGACCCCTTAAGTTTATTAATTTCATCAAATACTCTCAGAAAAAAATTTAAAAATTAACAAAAATACTCCCATCCATCCATACTTACTAGATTCCAACTGCCACCACCGATGGTAGCCGAAATCTGTCACAACGGTCTAGCCACCACCGAAAATAGTCGATAGTTCACTGATCTGGCCTTTTTTGGTCAGATCCACCACGGATCTGGCCGAAAAATGCCAGATCTGACGTGAGAAGGCGAGATCTGGCCAGAAAGTGACGGCCAAAGATGTGGCCGTCGTTGTCTGTCAACGATGGCCAAGATTTGGCCGTCGTTGACAGTCAACGATGACCACATCTTTGGCATTTCTGGCCAGATCGATACCGGCCATTTTCGGTGGTGGCCACGGGAATCTGGCAAGTATGGGTGAGTGGAGGTGTTTTTGTTAATTTTTAAACTTTTTTCTGGGGATATTTGATGGAATTAATAAACTTAAAAGGTCTAAAAGTAATTAAAAAAATAGACTAATATTTCTCAAAGGGCATTTTAGTCTTTTCCCTAACGAAAGGTACTTGTTTGTCTTTTTAAAACCTTTTACGTATCAATCTGTCATTTTTACAGACCTTGGGTAGGTGTAATCGTTTCCCCAACAAATTTCTATTAAGCTTTTTTATACGGAAAACTACAAAATTTAATATTTTGACACTAGTTGGCACTTGAGAATTTTTGAAAGTTTTGCAAGTTTCCGTCGTTCTTTTATCTGGTAATTAAAAACTTTATCTGAGTTTAAATTCTACTGAAAAGTCCACTAGAGATCAGAATTTGTTGTGTGTGTGTATATATACATACACACGTAAATTCTATATAATTTCGATCAAACCAACGAAACTTAGAAAAAAAATCAAATTCTATAAATTTGAAGAGAATTTATGTGTTGCATTATTGGTAATTAATGCATTTGTGAATTATTGGACGCTGAGTTAAGACTGTGTTGGTTATTTTCTCTATATATTTTTGTCAATCAATAAACAGCACCTGATTTGCGAAGTTTAATTTGTAGTTAATATTTTATTCGATGCTCAAATTAAATATACACTGTGGGTTTGACCTACACTTTGAAAAATTATATTATCTTATCAATTTTTTCCACCTAAACTGTCAATTTTTTTAATTTAAATATTTTTGTAGTTGTTGTAGTTACAGTGAACTATGTTCAGTCCGACAAAGTTTTCAACTTCCATTGAAGATTTGATACAAAATTGTCCTGAATTAATTAAACAATTTCTCTGACTAGACTAGTAATATTTAAAAAATGCCGGGCTGTGGAGGGTACTAAATTATAAAGAACATAAAAAACTTTAGATATTGGTTTATTTTCTATATAAAGCTTTATATATTTTATTATATAAAACATATAATGAAATAAAATACACTATATGTACATAATAATCCTTAGATTAATTCACTATATACAATTTTATTTTCTATATATTTCTATATTAAAAACATATAAAAATTTTTTTTTTCAATACATTCTCACTGTTATGCGGTAAATCCACCTTGCCTAGATTCATGTTACGTGTCTCAGGAATGTATTGTCACTAGGCCACGTGTTACTTCATTAGAAGGTTACTTTACTTGTAAGTTTACCAAATGAATCCGTCATTAGTAAACATCAATTTGTGTTGTCAATCAAGATGCGTGTCACCTCTTAAGACGGTTATTTCATGTGCAAGATCACCCTAGGTGCATTTCGCTCTCTAAAATGATTACTTCACCAGTGAATCTACCAAGACAATAGTATATAAAGGGGTCTCATAACCTAAGGAGGGGTTCCTTCTTTGATATTTGGAAACACTATTTTCTTGCTATAAAAAACTCTCTTTTGTACCTAGAACTGAGGTCACTTGTACTTACAAAATACACAAAAAACAATAAAATAACAATGAACATTGGATTTGTATCTTGCATTCGAACTATTTTAAAGATTCTCTGTTTCTTATATTTATTCATCATTTAGTATTAATCCAACACTAAATTAACGGTTTATTACAAACTCTTGTGTAAACCTCCTCACGAGATTTACGCACTTCTCGTTGATACGATCGCATCAAACACTTACTCTCGAAAATTGATGTCTCACTTTAAAAATATCAAGACGCTTGCTAGAAATAATATCCATTTCCACTAAACACTACTAACTTTAAGGAACATCAATAGTGAAATTACAACATCATATTTTTGGCTTTATTTAATTATTGAATATATTATTCTTTCAATTTGATATTAACCTCCAATTTTATGACGTCTTTTCCTTTTTCTTCTTTTGTTTGGTATTATTAATTTCTAGTTTCAGTGTAATTGTTGACCAGAGAAATTAATCTTGAATTAAAAACATGAAACAATAGTAGTTTCATGACAAGAATATCTAACTTTACAAGATCAATGATATATAAATTTTCAAATTTAAAAATTTTGAAATCTTTACGGTGTGGATCAAACACCAATGTGATTTTATTTTGTTTGTGTTGAGCAAGAGATTTTAATTTTCCTCTGTTCATTATTCTTGTGTTCAACATTAGTTTTATTGATAAATCCATTTAAATTAAATACATCAAATCGGTTGACTTGGTTTGAGTTATGTTTCTTATTTTAACACGTCTAATTAATTTTTGTTAGATTGTGTCATTATTATTAAGTTAGAATAAACAAGCTAGGATACATCGTTATCAAACTCAAATGAATCCAATCTACTTTGCTTTGAATTTTATACACAAAATTTTGTTCTAATTCTCCTCTTTTGGTAACTCTTTTATGCAAATGCTTCACTTTTTGGAGGGGAAATTTCAACTTTCAACTCTTACCTTTTCCATATGATAGAGACCTTATTTTAAATTAAAGTTGGAGGAGGAATCAAACGAAATACAAATAATCTATTCATATATGTGGAATTTTCATGCATGTTGGTCAATGCTCTATCCAGCTAATTGTGTATTTTGATTAGAAAATTAGGGCATTAATCTGAATAGTAGTATTTACAAAGTTTGGGAGATTTTAGGTGTGACCTTTTGAAATTGACCTTGGGGGCAATTACAAATCAAGCATACATGGT